ACCCGCTAAGTTGCAGCCCAGCCAGCAAGAGGATTCAGGTTACTTAACCCAACAGCAAGGGTGGCAGATAGAAGGAAAGATTGAAGCTGACAAGCTAACTCTCATACAAAGTATGCCTTCACAAATAACCTCTAAAGGGCACTTAAAACCACCTTTCTGAAAGGATTTTAAAAAACCCCTCAATCTTGACATACATTGATATTTTCTTCAGCTAATTCCCTTGAAGAGGCAGTGCTCATTATCAATTCAAAACTGAAACTGATGCACTCACCAGGAAGGATAAATGAAATCCCATAGACATTATCATGCAAATACAGTCTTAAAGCTCTGCAGTTATAAAAAAATGTTCAGTTGTATATAACATCTTGGCATTTCCATGCAAGACACAAATTTATAGACTATCAGACTCACTTATGGAAAAATCAAGCAGGGCTATCATATTTTTAAAATACTATAAATGGATATTGAAAGAATCAAAAGGCAAAACCTGAAGTATGCATGACACATATTCTTCAGGTTTCCATACATATTATTTCAGGGGAAAAAAAAGTAGCTTAGAAAGCCCCAGATCGAACACAAAGGTTTAATATTCTTGGTGAGGGAAAACTAACCAGCACAACAGATCTAGGTAAGGAGGGTATAAAAAGCACAAGAATTGGAAGAAATCAAAGCTAACTCGGGCCAAGATTCTGCCACCCCTGTAGTGAGGAGCGGGAGGAGAGAATGGACAAAGCACTGACATACAAAGTGGAATGGGAAAAACACCATCGAGGCACCACATGCTTGCAGGTGGTTGTGTTAGATGCGAGATTAGATTTGGGGAGACAACATATTATGTGTGTAAAATGTTATTTCAGCTCAGTATTGAAAGAGATGTAGGGTATAGCAGCAAACATGCGAATGGGAAGAGGCTATCTCAGGTGACAGTCCTACCTGAAAACATGGAGGAGTTGGCCTGAGAGTGGAACACCGTGGGCACCTCAGCCTGCGGGCTGGACACCTGGACTGGAGGTGCCCTGCAGAGCGTGGGTGCTCAGGGACAGCCCCGGTTTAGTCTTTATTCTACAGACACTGTCCCTCTAGCAATGTTTATGTCACTGTGAGGCACTGAACCATCTAGAGTTAAAGCAACTGAAGTTGAGCCCTTGAACTGACTAGAAAAGAAGAAATTAAAGATGTGAGGGAGAGGGGATGGATGGAGACATGACACAGGAGTCAGGAGGAGACGGGATTCCTGGGCTGGGACGGAGGTTCCTGTCAGAAGGACCATCGCTGCTTCCTCAGCGTGGAGACTGGCAAACTTTCTGTCAAGGGCCGGATGGTAAGTACTCCAGGCTTTGCAGGCTACCTGTTCTCTGTCCCATCGCTTCCCCTCTCCCACTGGGTTGCAAACACAGACAATACAGAAATGAACAAACATGGCCAAGTTCCAATACAACTGTTTACAAAAACGGGTGGCAGGGTGGGTTGTCTGGCCCACGGGCCACCACTAGCTGATTCAGAGAATCAGTCAAGAGGCATAAGCATACCGTGTGTGATTAGTATTGGACAAAACTAAAAGAAATTAAAGTCTGTCTTTGACTTTTTAGTAAAGTAGGAAGCTAGGGTATCCGTTAAGAAATGCAGATAGAGGACAGAAGGGCATGGAGATATCAGAACAGTTACCATGGGGCCAGCTAGGCATGAAACCCTCAGAGAAGCAGTTAGAAGTCTTTAACTTATTTATTTATTTATTTATTTATTTATTTTTACAGAGAGGGGAAAGGAAGGAGAAAGAGGACGAGAAATACTGATGTGAGAGAAACATGGATTTCTTGAATGTGCCCTGGCTGGGGACTGCAACCCAGGCATGTACCCTGACTGGGAATCGAACTAGCCACTTTTTGCTTTGTGTGACAATGCCCAACCAACAGAGCCACACCAGTCAGAAGAGCAGTATTGATTCTTAATGGAGCTAGTCAACAGTTCTGGAACTCAAGTGTAGAAAAAAAAAATCTACATAAGCATTGATCAGCCTGGCACTTGGCTAGTTCTCAAACATTTTTAACCCAAAGGAAAAGATTAAGCCATTATTTATTTCAGTGTACTGACAAGGACTTGCTATTATAAAGTCCAAAAGAGGGGTTTCTTCTTGTCCCAACTCCTAAGTCTTATTCCACAATGCGTGAGTGTCATCTGCACAAACCCAAGCACTGTATTCAGGGGGCAAGCAATTAAGCACCAGTTGCAACCCAAAGGGGGAATGAGAAGGCAACGAATAAACTAATAAATACTTCTCAGCCACCAAGTTACCAGCAATGAAAGCCAAGGAAGACATAAAGAAATGTGATTCTCTGTGTTTCCCGTAGTCTCGGATGCAGAGCCACCCAAGGCAGAGGAAACATAGGATACTATTTCCCCAGCAGTAACTCAAAAGCTTCAGAGGATATCCGACACTGAGTGTTCCAGGAACATAAGGAAATTTGAGATGTAAGAGCAAGCAGCAGGCTCTCATTTAGAAAACGGCTTCTTTTGAAAAATGACTAGGGCTCCTCACATTTGCTGTACGGACCAGAGGCAAGTTCTGGGCTTCCCACACACTGTGAGGCAGAGTGGCACATGCCAGTCACACGAAGCCCAAGACAGGGAAGATTGGCAGGCCCCAGCGGGTACATTTCCATCCCCTTTTAACCATACTCTGGAGGGATGGTCGAGGCTTTCAGGCACTTTGATCAGGGAAGCAGTTAAAAGTATCACGCTGAGCCCCAGATTCACCACAGCTGGAAAGACAGGAATAGTTGCCACCTACTTGAACTCGCTAATTTGCCTAAAACTGACAGAGCAAGGCTTGTCAAAGAGGCTTATGTGGCACATCAGTCTCTCCCTGAGAGGGTTTCCATCATTCGGCCTTCACCCCCGTTGTATTAAGAAGAGCTGTGCACTACGCTGCTCTTTATCATTTGTCACCTCAAACCATCCCTTTGTTTCACTGGATAATAATTCACATTGAGACTCCGCTGTTATACAGTGGGGTTAGAGCTCTCTGTGGTAACGGCAGCCCTAGGCATCAGTGAAGCTTTCAGAGTTGCTTCTGCAGTAAGGAGGTGAGAATCCCAGCTTGAGACCCCAGAACAGTAGTTGACTCCACCACACCACACCTTCTACCCTCCCCACTGTCATCGGGGTAGGGGGTCCCTTTAAGGCCTCCAAATGCCCCTCTGAGCGGGGACAAGGATCCAGAAAAAGGGATTGGAAATCTAAACGTTGGGGCTTAAGATATACATTTTTCTTATTAATTAAACAAGGTTTGCAGCAATCAATGCTTCCTGCCTTCTCAATCTCATTACCATCATTTGCCTTGTTGTTGCAATATACAAAACAAGGCAACACTTACCAGGAGCTGGACACTATCGAGAACGCTCAAGAACGATTGCCCCAGTTTTACAGATGAGAGAATTTCAATTTAGAAAATTGGGGCACATGCCCAAGATCACACAGCTGTGGCAGGTTGGGATTCAAGCCCAGGTGTGTCTGGTCCCAAAGCCTGTGCACTAATCTAGACTCAGGCCAGTGACCTCAGAGTCTCCTCCAGCGAAGGGAGAAGCCACAGTGTATGCACCACAGAGACCCAGCCGGTGTCCTGGCATCATACAGTGCAGAAAGCAGGCAACACGGAAAAATAAAAATACATGCTAGCTAGCTCTTGGGTGAAAAAGAATAAAGTTTGGATTTGGTAGAAGCATTTGTAGTTTGCAAGTTGTTTTCATGTATAAAATCTCATGATAACCTTAGGAGGAAAGAAGGGCATTAACCATTTTCCATTTTTTCTGATTAAAAAGAAAAACAACACATGAAGTTTCTGAAAGGTTTGGATATACACCTAACCTTACATAGCTAATAAATGGAAAGACCAGGATTAGAAACCTGTTTTTCTGGGTTCAAGCCCAAATTCTCCCTCTAATATCAGGATGCTTCTATTGTATGTGCTGCTCACTTAATAGGTCTGCAAAGAAATTTCTCATGTTTTCCCTTCTGGTTCCTGAGACATGGCATTTACCAGTGCTGTAGTCCTATTCCCAGGGAAATGAGTACAAGCTAAAAAAAATAGAGTATAAAACTGTTCTTCACTTGTAAGCAGTAGCTAGATTTAGTTGCTAATGTAAAAGAAAAATGGGAAATCTGACTATATTGTTCCATGTAAAGTCAGTAACTCTAATGCTATCATAAAAACTACTCAAAACAGTCATGGGGATGTAAAGTAGAGTGTAGGAAATATAGTCAACGTTACTGTAACTGTGTGGCATCAGCTGAATACTGGAAACATTGGGGGACCCTCTGTACAGTGTATGATTGCCTGACCACTATGCTGCACACCTGAAGCTAATACAATATAATGGTGAATGTAGACTGTCATTTTAAAAAACTTAAATTTAAAACAAAATTAGGTAGAGCAACACAAGAAGCATGGAAAAGGCGGGGCGGGGGGTGGTGGGTACAGAGGAGCCAGCCAGTCCCTGGGCAGGAGTGCGATGACACACTTGCAATGACTAAGGTCACAGAAAAGCAGCGGGGAGCCAGGCAGCACGAAGGGTGGGAGGCACACACACTTGTCCATGAAGTAAGAAGGACAATAGAAAACAGAAGGGACCAAAGTTAAATACTTCATAAAAACTAAATCTGAGACATTAATCATAGCAACAGTGTAAAAGAGGAGGAAAAAAAGTTGCTAAATGCATACCATTATGTAATCCTGATAGCCTCCTAATTTAGGGGCAAGAGGACTAAAAAAGGAGAGTTGAACCCTGGAAGCTCAGGAAATGACAAAAATATTCGGCATGAAGGAGTAACTCTTCTGAAAGACGGGGCGTATTTCTCCATTGCTTTCTGTATTACTAGTATGTGAACTTGGGTAGGAAGGGCTGGGGGAGGACTTTCTACAATCCTGTCAGTCCCTCTGTTGACAGTTGCTATTTTTTCCTATTGCTATTTCGTTCCTTCCCAGCATCTCCCTTATCTCGTAGGTGAACCAGCTCAGTGGTTACACCTCCTCAGGGCGGCTGCTCCCTCCTCACACTGGAAGCCACTGCTCCAGCTCTGGCGGAGGGAACCTCAGGTCCTGCTGAAAGAGCGGTCGGGGTCCAAGTTTCCCAAAGCCTGACTGATAATGGCAGGCTGCAGTCTAAAGCAACACCTTTGAATGCAGGTAATTATTGCAGAAATTGACAACAAGCCCTAGAATCAAGCAAACAAGGTGGGAGAGCTCTTTACTACCCAGATTTCCGAAAGGGAGGATAGCACCTGCCTGTGGGCTTAAAATTTTTTTTTAAATAGAGAATCTACATCATTGTAATAACAAATAGTGACATACTAGGTTCTACCCTATAATTACTAAAGTCACTAAATTTCAAAACATTTTCATAAAGATCTAAAATGGAACGATACTGTGCACAGAAAGATCTCACAGACCTGTCAAAGGTTTCCACTGCTCTATCCTCACTAAACCCAGTTTATTGTGAAATGTGGTAAGGTTTATTTTTTCCATCTAACCTAAATTTCCTTTTTTAAACTATCTCCCCACAAGGGCATAATCTGTTTAAAGAAATGATATGGATGTTATTATTTTCTGCCAAATCTTTGGAAGATCAAATTTCTGCCAAATCTGGAAGAGGCTCCAGTCTAGGCATTAGTAGCTTTCTGCTTGCTCTCCTTGCAGAATCCGCCCCCCTCCGCCCCCCCGCCAACACACACACATAAGCCAAATCACCAAGATAAATCCAGGCCTTTGCCCTGAACCCTCCAACCTCTTTCCAATTGATAAGCCCCCACATGGCCTTTTCTGAATTCACCCTGAGAGACAAAAATCGCAGGCAAAAAACATCCGGATATGGACTTACTCCCATCTTTCTTCGTTTAAAGGCACATACTTTCAGGTGAGAAATTTCAGGACAAATTTCAAATTCTCTTAATGATTTTTATGGCACTCTTGAAGACTCCCAGATAAAGCAGCACCTCACTTGGAAATTCTCTTTTGTCTGTTGTAAATAACTCTTCCAAAAACCAAACTAGACATGAACAACAGCATTTGCTGATTGCCAAACATAGGTACAGGGTAATAAAATAAAACAAAATCAACTAGAATTATGCTAAAATTATTATAGCATCAACTCTTTGAGTCGCATAGGAAGACATATATTCCAAAAAAGCCACCTTACCTTGTTGGCTGATAAAGAATGATGAGCGAAAGCTTGCGTCTGAATTCTGAGACCGACTTTACGTAGCTGTGGGTTTGGCCCATGGACCAGTACCATAAGCATCACCTGGGAGCTTCTTAGGAATGCAAATCCTCAAGCCCCTCCCCAAGCCTAGGAGTCAGGACTGCTGTGGGGATGGTGGGCCCTGCAATCTGTTTAACAAGCCCGCCAGCTAACTGTAATACTCTCTCAAGTTTGATGTTGTTTGAAACTACTGGATAACAGCATTGGTTTGAAACTAAAGTTAAACAGAAACACCTGTCACTTAGAAATTTTACCATTCCACAACATTCTAAAACAACATCAGGTTTTTTTTCAATGAACTTTTTGTTGTAGAAGTTTTATATTTACCAACTATTGCAAAGATGGGGGTCCCATTCACACATTCACTGCACCCTCAGTTTCCCCAAAGTTAGCATCTTGCATTAGAATAGTACAATTGTCACAATGAATGGATCTATATTGACACGTGATCAACTTACTCTAGCCTACACAGATTTCCTTAGATTTCGCCTTATGTCCTTTTTCTGTTCCACCACCCCATCCTGGACACCACGTTACATTTGGTCGTCATGTCTCCTTGGGCTCCTCTTAGCTGTGATAGTTTCCCAGTCCTTCTTCGTTCTGGTACTGAGTTTTTGAAGGTCTCTTAGTTGGGGCTTGTCTGATGTTTTTCTCATGATCAGACTAGGGTTATGGGTTTGGGGAGGAAGACCACAGTGACATCCTTGCATCACATCAAAGATACAAACTACCCACATGACTCATCACAGACAACATTAATTTGGATCACATGACTAAGGCAGGATTTATTAGGTTTCTCCACCATTAAGTTATTCATCTTCTCTCCTTTCCATACTACATATTCTTTGCAAGTAAGGCAGCCCACACTTGAGGAATGAGGCGTTATGTTCCACCTCCTTGAAGGTGGAGTATCTACTAAATCAGCATCAGAATTTTGCACTCAAAAAAATGAATAAAACCTATTTTGATATTTGAGATGTTTCTAAAAAGAATTAGAAGCCTGAACTGGGTGAATCATCAACATAAGAAAAATAAAAACAGCATGACATGGGAGATGTGGCTGCCAGTGGGGGTGAAATGAGTTCATGCAATTGCAGACTGATGCCAAAAAATGGGGACAGGCCTTCCACACATGGCACTAATGACGACATATGGTCACCACAGCAACCGTCATGTCTTTTTCAGACACATATCCAGGATCTCTTTCCAGTTTAAGTACCACTGCCCTCTTCCTCCAGTAGTTCCCATCCTTGGCTGCACACTGACCATTCCTGGGAAGCTCTGGCGAGGTTGGGGCATCGACATTTAAAAAGCTCCCAGGTGATCTGAATATGCAACCAGGGCTGGAACACCACTGCTCTCAGGGCTGTCATCATCCTCAGGTGGTAGCTTTTAACAAACAAACACTGAGGAACCAGAGATATGAGAACAGGGCAGAATGCAGGTTTCATCGTAGCTGCATGTCCTTCTTAAAACAGCACAGCAATGGTGGTAATTAACTCCACCAGACTGAGAACCTTGCAGTCTCAGGACAGAGACCACACTGAGGAGGGGGTTAGAGAGAAAGCAAATGATATTCAAAGATGCATAAGGCATGCTCCTGCCCTCAAAGCTCTCACCAAATCTAATGATACAATGAAACAGGAGAAATGGAATAGGTATGCTAATGGTGGCCATGGTTGTGGAAGAGTAGTTGTAGTAGTATTAGTAAACAATATTTATTAAATTCTTACTTTAGGCCAGGTCTAAATTCTGTTCCATTTATAACCAAGTGGGGTAGGTACTATTATTATCTCTATTTTTACAGATGAGGAAGCTTACCAAGGTTTCTCTAGTTAAGTGGCCAGAGATAGGTTTCATAACTTGGCAATCCAACTCCAGAGTTTTGTTCTGTATCATTTTCTCCTCCCCTACTTAACTACATCCCAGATCTGCGGGGCACAGGACGGAGAAGTGGTCCAGTCCAGGGATGCTCAGGGAAGGCTCTAAGGAGATAGGTTATAGAAACTAAGTATAAGAAGCGAAGTTAAATGTGGAGTTGTTGTGAAGCACAGTTTGGTTGGCGGCAGGTGAGACAGAGCACTTAATTCAGTTGCTCACTGCCAGGATCAAGGCCTGAGGGAGGAGCACCGGAAGTGGGTCCGGATAGTTGTTGGGCTTGTTTGCAAATTTAATAAAGGCACGTTACCATAGACAGCCAGTGGGGGGTGCTGGGGAGTCTCCAATGTTGGCCAAGATGGCTGCCGGGGGAGGTTCTTACACTCGGTGCCACGAGCTAGAAATGCGAATGGATAGCACTGAAAGCTAGAAAGATGAATGGATAGGGCCCAAGGAAGCCAAACGCTTGAAAGGTAATTGGATAGAAAATAAAAATCCTCCTTTCCTTCTCCCTATAAGAACCTCAGGCTTGAGCAGGAAGATGGGGATGGTCTTTGAGACGAACTCCACCATCCCCCCCGGTTGTGCAGCACCTAAATAAAACCTCTTTTTGTACCAGCTCCTGCCTCATGAGTTTGGCTTCTGTGGTGGCAGGCATTCCAACTTCCGTTTTGTTTGGTTACAGGCATTTATGATGAAGGAAGGCACCGATCCTGGCACCACATTTTGGGTACCTGCCATCATCTTCTCCCTCATCTTCTTTGCCCTGTTCTTTGTGCTAGGAAGTCTGGCCCACATGCAATACATCAATGAATCTTTGACCTTTGATTTCTGAAGGTATCATATCTGCCAGTTGTGGAGCCTCAGCAAGAGATCAGATCTCAGGAGAAGAGTGAGCTCACTGCATTCTTTACCTGGCTCTCTTTCTGAAGCTTGCCTGGGTCTGGCTGTCCCCTCAAATGAAAGTAATTGTTTCTCTTCTTGTGATTTCTCTAAGTGATTCTTTCTCTCTAGTTCCTTACAGTTCTTTCCGGTTTCTTCAGGCCCACGGTTGGTGGCAATTGCTCCCTGTCCACAGCCCAGAGTTGCTTGCCCACACCCTCAAAATATGTAGTTCCTTTGTAAATAAACCCGCCTTTAATTGTCCTAATTTGATTGTGCCATGTGGTTACCATAGAGATTCCCAACATACAAAACTAGGTGCAAATTCTCTTTGTTTTGCTCGTCCCATTTGCCAGCAGTGGTGCCTAGAGGTATTCCTCCACAACCCACATGGAAACATATTTACACATTTAATGCTTCTGCAGCACCAACAACAATTCTATCCACTTGGTTTTCATGTTTCCATAGTAACATGGCATAAGCAAGTGGCCCTAAAAGTGACTCCTGCACAATCTCCTGGTTCCAGCTGATTCCTGCCCACCTAGCATCAAATAGTAATAATAATCAACCAACCATTGTTGGTCAGAATATTCTGCTCCCTGTGTTTAAAAACATTCTCTCTCCTTGAGATAATGGATTAATGTTCTACCTTAGTCTTCTCTCTCATTTGTCAACTTTCCTCTGGCCCTATAGTTTTTTGGTTAAGTGTTTCACCCAGATTTTAAAATACAGACAGGTTTAACTCATATAATTAACATCATATTTATAAAGAATTAAAATAAAATAATAAAACCCCTAATATTCCTTGAAGGTGACGTGGTGGGCACTGTGATTTCAGACTGATGTAGACCTTATAGGAGACTGGTGTAGATAATATCATTACCCCCGTTTACAGGCAGAGGAAGGAAGGCTACATGAGAACAGCTGACATGTTACGGCTCCTGTAAGAGGCGTTGGAAGCCTCGGCTGAGCAGATTATATGTATGTCTACCCACATATCGGCCTTTTCCCTGCTCTTTTTTTCCTTCTTTCTCTATCTTTTCTTCTTTTTCCTCCTCTTCTACTGCTTCCCCCTTCTTTTCCTTGTAATTAATAAACACAACTCTCTGAACACTTGCCATGTCCAAGGCCATGTTCTGTTAGCTGTCTTTGGAGAAACTTCAAAGATATGACTCTTGACTTTGATGGGCTTATAGTCTAGCTGGGCTATGGATCATGTGTCTTTGCCTTTTAATATATATATATGATATAAATATATATATTTCAAAGAAAGCACAGGCAGCACATATGCATAAAAGAGGTATAAATTATGATAATACAATCTTTCAGAAGACAAGTCAATGGCCTGGTTGGGGTGATGAGGAAATGTTCCTTGTGGAAGGTAGAATTTGAGGTAAGTTTTGAGAGAGGGTAGGGTTTACAGAAAGGACATGCTGTAGCATGCTTCAGTTACCTATTTAGGATCCGTATGGAGGAAAGTTGCCTGAGACACTTCAGTAAGGATGCCAAGGCTTTCTCCTTTTGGTCTTACTCTCTCACACTAGAAGTCAGTGAGGATGCATGTGCTTGTCAACAAGGCGGCAAGGGCCCCTGATGACTGGAGGTGGCAGGTTGGGGGTTGTAACTAGAGAAGAATTTGGCCTTACATGTCTAAGCATCTAAGAACAGAATAAGAATGGATTCTTAATGAAAACACAGACTATTACCTGCTACCTTAATTTTTTTTTTAATATGAAAGGTCCTAATGATTTAGTTTGGGCTTTGAAACAACAACAATTGCTTTTCTCCTGGAATGGCAGGAGGTCCAACCAATAATTTGTATGCATAAATTTGACGTTGTCCAAACATCAACTCCCTTGCCTTTTTGTCTTGTGACATACAGAGAGAAAGAGAAGATGTCCCAACAAAAACGATTTTCCATGCTGCCTGGAGCTAACCAAATGGATTTAGACAAAGGCCTCTTTGGTAGCAGATGTAAATGCTTTACGCAAAACAAGAATGTAGGTTAAAAAAAAGAGACATCTCTATAATTGCTCTGTGTGCACAATACAATACCTAGTAGCATTTAACATTTCCCATTCTGCAATACCTGATTAGAAGGTTCAGTTTCAGGATGTTAATTAGAATGTGCCACACATCACTACTTAATGGATCTGAAATCTTGGGCAAAGGTTGCTTTACTAATTGTTATTTTCCTATGCTGCTTCTAAAGCTGTTGAATTTTCCCTGCTATGTCAACTTCCCTTCACAATAAAATAATTTAGGGAAAAATCTCTCAGAGAAATCACATGGATACCAAAATCTGCACAAGACTTAATGCTCTAAAATGTGTTCTATTATGGATATCAATTGGTATAGCATAAAAATCTTGTTGTTTTCATTGTTGTTTTGGTGTAACATGGTGTTCTTAGCATGGTAATGCAAGTTGAAGTACAATTGTTTAATTCCAGGATTAATAGCTCTGTGTCTCCCACCAAAATGTACAAACTGCAAGAATAAGGCCCTGCCCGATTTGCCTGCCATCGCATACCCAGAGCTTAGCACAGGACCTGCCACAAAGTAGGTATTCAATGCATATGTATTAAGTGAATCAGGAGAACCTGATAGGAAGATCATATGCAATGAATATTAAAGATATTTAAACATTGCAGCAATTTAAGCAAATAATCCATAATGAAATACTGCTCTGAAGGAACTAATCAGTGATTTGCTGAGCAATGATCATTCAGCCACCCCCCCTACTCTTTCTCTCTCCTCTCCCCTTCCTTTCTGATTATTGAACACACTGCAGGCAAGACACGTGGCGTTGGATCTTGCTGGGGAGAGAAAAGAATTGTCACAGTTTGGTTGTTGAAATTGTGAATTCTAAGTGAACGCAGTAAATTTTCTTATAAAGAGGTTAATGGCTAAAATTCTCGTCAACAATTCCAGTGTGTGGGGTTTTCCTCCCACACAACCAAGGAATTCTCCAACACCAGCTGGATGTCCTACAATTCAAGCCAATTCTGACACTATCAATACGAAGACAGCATCAGATTCCAAAGGCTAAGGGCTCAGTCCCACAAGATGACACTCCACTTTAGATGTCAGTCACAAATCCAGGTCATTACCTGTACTTCTGACCGACTGGCTGTAAATCAGAGGTTCCCATAACCCTTTCCTTGGGTCTGATTTCTTTGCTAGAGTGGCTCACAGAACTCAGAACGCAGTGTACTCACTAGATTCCTAGTTTATTACAAAGGAAATGAAAGGATACAAATCAACAGCTGGAGGCAGAAATGCAAAGAGTGAAATCCTGAACAAAGGAGTTTCTGTCCCTGTGCAGTTTGAGACTCACTACGGGGCACATGGTAGCATTCTGGGTCACCAACCTGGAAGCTCTCTGAAACCCACCCTTCTCAGGTTTTACGGAGGCTTCCTTATTTGGACATAGTTGATCAAATTATTGGCCATTGGTGACTGATTCACCCTCAACTCCCTTACCCCTCCCTTGAGGTAAGGGGGGTGGGACTAAAAGTTCTAACCCTCTAGTCACAGGGTTGGTTCTCCTGGCAACCAGTCCCCAGTCTCAGGTTAAGTTTCATAACATCTCATTAACATAACAAAAGACACCTTTGTGGCTCCTATCATTTAGGAAATTCAGAGGGTTGTAGGAGCTCTGTGCCAGGATGAGTAGACCTCACCTGATCATGTGTTTATTGATTTTAGAGAGAGAGGAAGGGACAGAGAGAGACACACACACACACACACACACAAAGAGAGGAACATTGATCACTTGCCTCCCATAGGTGCCCAGACTGGGGATTGAACCTGTAACCCTTTGGTGTATGAATTTCAACCAACTGAAAAACCTTTTTAGGGCAATATGTATTTTTTATTAGAAATCACAATACATGATGTTCCCAACATGATTGCCAACAGGTAATAATATAAATGAGGTAAAGAAGGTGTAATAGGGTACAAATATATTCACACTGGCCAGCACTCAAGACAATATTTCAAATTCATGATCAGATTCCAAATGCATCATACTACCAGATCCTGTTAGACATATTCCAAATAAAGTTTAGTTGAGACTAGTGCACAGTAACTCCGAAAGAATAGACTTAGCAGAGGTAATGAATTCAGATGTCTACTTACCAATTTTAGGCTAATAATTCGAGATTTCAAATAGCAAGTATCCCAAAATGGTATTTTTCTCCACCTAAGTCCCTTGACCAATTCAAAAGAGAAAAACAAAACAAAACATTAAGTTTCAAAGTTTGCCTCCTTTAGTAGTTCATTTTAAATGATTTCCAGGAAGAATAAGATACTTAACATTCACTTGAAACTTTGTGTTTTGCCCTGAAATATGACATTATGGAAAACAGGGAAACAATAAAACATTTGGGTGATGATTCATACCCTTAGGATGTATGTAAATACAGCACTTCTTGTTACCCACAATCAGTGCCAGGTATAACATGATTTGCTATGAATAGAGCCCCCAAGAGCTGCTACTTCTGAGGCTACTTACAAAAGTTGTGCCAATTATTCATGAGCCTATACAGGTAAAATTGAATTGTGTGTTGTTTTTCTAGTCCCAAACCACAAACTCTACAAAGCTGCTGTAGACATGTAGAACAGAGCAAAAACCAAATCAAAAATAGTCTTTCTTTCTGCTCTGGGGTGAAACCAGAACTTAGGCTGGTTTTTAAAATGGAATGCATAATGTAAAGCAGAATAATAGAAAAGAATATAAATTATAGTCTAGTTGAATGGGACCTCAGAGATTGGCCAATTCCACCCCCTTATCTTACACATGAAGAAACAGAGGCTCCAAGGAGCCTGACCTCTTCAAGGTCACACAATGTAGTTAATGTAAAAATACAGAGCAAAGGGATAGTTGGTAGCTAGAAGTCAAATGCCAACATTATAAATATTCATGAAACTCAATCTTTAGCTCCTAAACAATATTTAAGTCCTAGAAAATGGTTTATTTACTTCAAGTTATATTGATATAGTTTAACTTTAATACAACACAAAATTCTTACAGATAATTACCATTTTACCTGTGTCAGATGGTGAGGTAGACAGAATAGTAGCCCCTAGAGACCTTTGCATCCTGAAACGAGAATCTGTAAAGACACTACCTTCCATGGAAGTGGGACTCTGTATATGTTGACAACCTTGAGATGGGGAGGTTTTCCTGGGTAATTATTATCTGTATGGGCCTGGTGTAATCACAAGAGTCCTCATTAGAGGGGCAAGAGGGCTAAA